CCTCCCGATCCAGATCCAGACGAGGGAGGAGTGGGGGGTGAGTGGGGGGTTAGGGTTTCAGTACCCTGGGGAGTGGGGGCGCGGGGTGGGCCAGCCCATTCGGGCGGCCGGGGTCCACGTGGATGGCCAGCTTGGCCAAAAGGCCCAGCAGGGGGGGGGGCTTTTATTCTGTTTTTTGTTTGGATTTTACTGTTTTATTTCATTCCAGTGTATTTAGGCATTTTCAAAAAATGTGTATTATGCACTATAATTATCTAGGCATTTAAATGCACACTCCAAACATTTTTATTTTAACGTTTGAAAACTTCTGTTGTTTGCCATAATTTTGAATTTGAATTTTGAACCGGTTTTGAAATAACGAGAGTATATCAACGGTTACGGAGGTGTTGTAGCATCATTAGCAGAGTTTTACTGTAGCCTAATTATCCGAGCGTTACAATGGGCCAAGAGTTTTACTAAGTGTTAGTAACATATATCAAGGATCTCAAAAGAATATATGAATATCAACTTCATGATTGATATAATTAGGGCTATGATCAAACTATTTTATGAACAATATTGTTGATTCTATAAAATGATAATTTATGTTTTGAAAACATTAGATGTTTTAATGTTGTCTGAATCAAAAAGAGTCTTGATATAAAAGGGAAGATCCAATAATCAAGAAATGTATTGTTATAATTGGATGTTACAAAAAGTTGTAAAGAACCCCATTAACAATATATTGAGAATATGGCCAATCAAGAAGAGTCTTGATATAAATGGGTAAAATCCAATAATCAAGAAATGTCTTGATATAATTGGATATTACAAGAGTTGTAAGAAACCCATAAACATTATGAATAATGGACAATCAAGAAGAGTCTTGATATAAAAGGGTAGATCCAATAATCAAGAAATGTCTTGATATAATTGGGTATTACAAAAGTTTTAATAAGCCCATAAGCATTATGAAGATGGCCAGTCAAGAAAAATCTTGATATAAATAGGTGAATCCAAAATATGATTGTAAGTGCAATGAGTCTGAATGATATTTTATTTTGAATAAAATGTTATAGCTCAAAGCAAGATGGATGGAGATCCTGTAAACAGACAAGACTGACACAAATATTACTTAGTTTTGAATATGTCAAAACAAATGACAAAGCCTCTAGCCCTCTACCACAAGCAAAGCATGAGCAACACCAGAATACCCATAGGTGTTTGTAAAACAATACAGCTAAATTATTGACTCTAGTGCAAGTGGGAGACTGTTAAAAATATGCCATAGAGGCAATAATATTGTATAATTATATTTCCGTTATTCATAATTAAGATTTTATATTTTATGCTATAACTTCTATGATCCTGGAATATGTGATTTAGTGAAAAAACTCATATACACGTGTGAAATGATAAACGGTAAAACAATAGGTTCCTGGTCCCGCCAGGGCTTGCAAAGTATCGCGAAGCAAAGGGAGCATCATATGATAACCAAAGGTTCACTCCAATATCATTCGGATAATCATAGGGACCGATATGGATGTCCGCGGTTCCGCTATCGGTCATTGAACTAAGGGGTTTCGTTCATGTCTAAGGTTTACCGAACCTACGGGGTCACAAGCTTAAGGTAATCACGATTTGCTGAGTGTTAGTAGGACAGGAGTGATGAGAATATATTTGTGGAATTGTTTCATTAATATCCGGAATAGTTCTGAGAGGTTCCGAAAGCGTTTTGGGGTCACCGGAAGGGTTTCGGTGAATATCGGGTAATACCGGGTATTATTGATTTATTATATATATGTGGAAAATGTTTCTGGAGATATTAAATTATATATATAATGGTCTAAATTTTTTTGGAAAAATTTATATTTAATTAAAATATCAACGGGGCTAAAAAGGCTAAGAGGTGGAAGACAACTTAGGCCACAAGGGCCCAAGTGGAAGTGCCCTCCCTTCCCTTCCCTTCCCCTTCCTAG